GCCCAGCAGAAGGAGAAGCGATCAGGGTAGAAGCTTCCAGGACAGAGAGCGCAGCCACGTCCCGATCCAGCAGGGGAGAGGTGGCTAGCGGCCAGCACTCACCGGAAAATGCAGGCAAGGCAAGGGGGTCAAACAAAAAGAAGGGATTTGAAAGCCTCTGCCTCACAAGGGCTGGACAGAGGCACATACAGTCACATAAGGTAGGGGACACCTGTGACAATTCCTGCAGAGGGTGAGAGCAGAGATTTCTGAGCTAATCAGGTCTGAGTTTTGATCTCTTTACTAGTTGTGCGACATGGGGCAGTTTCTTCTCCTGTAAAGGTTTGTTGTGAAGATCACGTTAAGTGATGGTAAGAGCTCAGCACAGAGTCGGCTGTATAAGAACATGTAAAGGATGTTCGCTATTATTCCTGCATGCGGTAGAGTGACAGCCTTGGAGCAGATGCTCCAGGTGAGCTGCAAATGGTAACTTAGAGGGTGGCCTCTGGCCTTAGGTCCTCTCTCGTCCACTCCTTTAGTTTTTCACCCAAGTCAGACACAGCTCTGCCCACCCCAGCCTTCCTCTCTCTCTCTCCCCCCACTGCTCTGTGTGTGTGTGTGTGTGTGTGCGCGAGCGTGCGCGCTTGTCTCTGTCTGTCTGTGGGTCTCTGTCTCTGCCTCTCTCAGATCCTAACCTTTCCCTGCACATCCAGGAAATTGATGGTCCAGCATGAAAATGAACAATAATGAGTAATAACAACTGGAAAGTTTGGCTTTTGGGCCCCAGACATGGCCACTTCTGAGTTGTTCCTGAGCCTTGGGTTGTGCCGTTTCGGTGGAGGATGGAGCACTCCATCAGGAGGGCACGGAAAAACTGGGTCCACAGATCAGAGCCATCAACTGGCTGCTTGCCAAGTCCAGGGAGGGAAGCTTCAGTTAATTTTTGTTGAATGAATGACCACACCCAAGGGTGCCCTGTGCCCAATGACCAGCTAAGGTAGGGTGGAGGCAGCAACGACTCCCTGGGCCACTGGCCTCAGCCTACGCCAAGTTGGAGACCTTCCTCTGGTTGTTCAGGCTGTGCCAGCGCTGCCAGGACTCCCTCCCCTGTGCCCCACACCCGCCAGCATCTGTCCCTGAGCTCCACCTATCTCCTTGCTCTGGGCCCCTGGTTTCTACCTGGGAGTGGAATCTGACTGAGCGCAAAAGAATAAAGTTGAGGTTTTCCTTCTCTGCCTGGAATCGGGGCACAGGGGATTCCAGCGGGGGCTGAGCACCGGCCCTGCTGCAGGATGCCTGCGACACCGGCTGCCTCCTTCGCCTGGCAGGAGCTGGGCTCCTGGTGTGTAACATGAGGACACGATGACCTTTGACGGGGTCTCTCAGCTGTAACATTCTAGGTCTCCAAAAAGTGGTAAAAATTGTATTGTAAAATTAAATTAAATTTCTCACACCTTTTTTTAACAAGATGAAGCTTTTTGTGTCGATGCCTTCCTTGCCGACCACAGAGCAACTATATGAACGGTTTAGATTTTTTTCATTAATATTCTTAATTATCAGGGCTTTTGAAGCAAGCAATTTGCCTTCTGAAGTCCTGTAAGAGAGGAAAATGATTTAGCAACAAGCTCTGTCATTGCCAACATTACCCACGAGACAGGAATTTGGATGTGCAAATACCTGTGTACAAAGACAATGCTCTGTGGTCTTTCCCTTCCCCCAGAAACCTTCCCTTTCTGGTGGGCTCTCTTCAAGAGTGGGCCATGAGGAACCCCCTGCTTCCTGGGGGTCTCAGCCCTCCTGAGATCATCTGGGGACAGCACTGTGACCTGCCTAATATTAAAATGCCTGGCAGGTAGTGATGCTAAATTGAAAATACAAAAAAAATTCTCTCAATTACAGGCAGACATCATTTTATTGAGTTCATTTCAAGGCACTGTGCAGACACTGCCCTTTTTATAGATTGAAGGTTTGTGGCAACTGTGTCAAGCAGATCTTTCAGCATCATTTTTCCAATAGCATTTGCTCATTTCATGTCTCCGAGTCACATGTTGGTAATTTTTTTTTACATTGTTTTTTTCTTTTAGTTTTTTTGTTGGGGGGGAAGTGGGGGAGAGAGGTAATTAGGTTTATTTACTTATTATTTTAATTTCTTTCTTTCTTTTTTCTTTTTAAATAGAGGTACTGAGGATTGAACCCAGGACCTCACGTGTGCTAAGCATACACTCTACCACATGAGCTACACCCTCCCCCACATTTTGGTAATTCTTAGTATTTCAATTTTTTTCATTATCATTACATTTGTTATGGTGGTCTGTGATCAGTTATCTTTGCTGTTATTATTCTAATTTCTCTGATATTTCTTTAGTAACAAAGTATTTTTAGTTAAGAAATGTACTTTTTTTTTAGATATAATGCTATTGTCCACTTAACAGACTACAGTATAGTCTGTTATAAACTTTTATCTAAAAGTTTAGTTTAAAACTAAAAACATCACTTTTATATGCACTGGAAAGCCAAAAAATTTGTGTGACTTGCTTTATCATGATATTTGCTTTATTGTCTTGGTCTGGACCTGCACATGCAACATCCCTGAGGGGTGCCTGTGTTTTCCCCTAGTTCTGCTGTCCTGGCTCCTCAGCCTTCCTCCCACTGTGGAGTCTCCATCAATTGTGACAGGACTGCAAGCCTTTCAGCACAGATGCAGTTTCATACCAAGTTTGTCCTCACAATCCTAAAGACCCCTCTTATTTTGTTCAGCGTTTAAACAGCACAGGGAAATATATACAAGATCTTGTGGTAGCTCACGGTGAAAAAGAAAGCGACAATGAATATATGTATGTTCATGCATAACTGAAAAATTGAGCTCTGCACTCGAAATTGACACAACATTGTAAACTGACTATAACTCAATAAAATAAAATTAAAATAATATAAATGTAAAAACAACACTATTCTCAGACACCCCCCTCCCCAGGCACATGAGAAATACCAATTCAGCTGTTCAGTGAGTGTCAAAAAATGACCGAGACCACCAGAGGCAGCCGGTTCTCTTTCTCTTCTAAAAGAATTCAAGCTGTCCTGTCCCTGATGCAAGGTAAATGCTCCTGACACCTGACACCTGCCGGTGACAGGGCCTGAAGGCGCTGGGGCAGCCAGCACGCCCAGGTGCAGTCTCTCACCTGCCATGCCCCTAGCAGCCGGGGCATGGTACCCACTGTGGCATCCAACTATCTCAAATGCATTTTGGAACATAATTCTGTGCAGCAGTTACCAACCCAGAAACATCAGCGATCCAACATCCATGAGACATCCAGGAGTAAGGCACAAAAAGCCACTGGGAAGCCAAAACAGACGCCATAAGGCGTTCATACACCTGTGATTAAGACTTAGCTTAGCTTAAGCTCCATTTCTGATAAGTTTGATGAGCTGGTCTTCTGTGACTCCAAAGATTAACAAGAGATAGATGAGAAGATGGGGAAATAGAGAAGGGGGAGAAATGCAGAAACCCAGGGTGGGGGGAAGAGGACAGACGCTGAGGATAAGATGCGACAGCCAGATAGCCACGCCACGCAGCTGCGCCCGGCCCCAGGCGAGGGCGTAGACCTCGCACTGTAAGGCACTTGTAGGCAAGTGTCAGCAAGAATTGAGAGCTTCCAGCATGATGATATAAAAAGCAGAGAAAAGCCCTCAGAAGTGCCGCTAAGGTGACAGACACCTTAGGCCCCCTACTCACTGGAACCTGAGTGGATCAGCACATTAAAAATGACAGTAATAATCCAGAGTCATTCCAAAATATTTAAATGGCCCATAGGCTTAGAATGTTCTGTTTTAACAAGTATGAACATCCCTTAGCAGGAGAATATAGGAACTTTTTGCACGAGTGCTGCCTCCCAGGTATCTGGCTAACCACTGCCCTGTTTGCTTTTTCTATCTGTTCTTACTGTCTTTCTAATTCCCTAATGGACTCCGGCAGGAAGATGCCTCCACAATTACTATGATCAACGTCAATCTGCCGACAACGAATGGCACAGGGCTGACACCTGGTCATTTACAGCAGTGCTTTCTCAAGACATCACTTAACACCTAACAGTCTCTGGAGAGCTTTCCGTATTTGACAAAATTCCTCAGTTCTCACCTTTAAGGAAGTTCCTCCCTGTAAGGAATGCTCTGGGAAAGAAGCATAAAAAGAAGCATAAAAAGAAGCTCTGGGCTGTCTCTAAAGAGCAGGAGGCAGTCCCACGTCAGCACATCTCACGCCCAGCAAACAAATCCCCAAAATCCCCGCGTGTGTGGGTCTGGAGCAGCAACGGCAGCAGACAGCCCGCCTGCGGCCGGGGCTGCCCCCCAGCAGGAAAAGGTACTGATGATGTACGCCGCAACATCTGGGCTCGCAGCTGGTCACGGTGACACGGGGAACACAGCTGGGCACGCCTGCTGCACACCGGGGGCTCGGAGTCACTTGCACGTGTCCCAGTCTCCCCACCTGGCCTTTTCTCTGGCACATTAGCAAACACAAAGCATTCAACGCAATTTTCACAATTCGGAAGACTGTGCCCCCAGGGGATCACTCTTTTATAAGACGCTAAGGTAAAGTCCCCGTCTCCATCAGATCCCGACTGACCAAAAGCAGCTTTTGTAAGGTGATGCTCAAAAGCCTCACCGACCTTCTTTTTCTAGTTTAGATCTCAGCAATACATTTCTGCGTAATTCACCAACCCAGAGTCCAGGAATCATAGTTATAAAATATGTAAACCACGATTATAAGTTAAATTCATCTCAAGTATCCTGTCGGCCTTTCAGGAGTCTGCTGTATTTATCTCACGTGTACACGATACAGTGTGATTTTTGTCTAGCAAGAAGCGCACAACGCACAGAATGCAGCCATACCAGATTCTCTGCCCTTCTTCTTCATGTATATTAGGGTCGTTTTCATTTTCTTTCCAGTTGTTCCAATAAATCTTATCCTTTTCATTCATCAAAGCAGAGCAGTTGAGCTGTATGTCTTTTCCTAGGTAAAAGTTGACAGCAAATGTGATTTTAGAAACTCAGGTTTCCCGAAGGTTAGGATTAATATAATCAATATATATTACCCTAATATATAATGTTAACATAGTGCTGCATCTCAAAAAAAAAGTCTTATTTTTAAATTAAAAAAAACTTATAAAGCAGAGAAATTAGGTTGTAATTACAAGTTATCACCAAACCATGAATTGGCTTCTTTTGAAATGTTTATGTCTAAATCAATTATTAAAACTTAGGGTGGCCAGTTGACTTTCTTTACGACATGTAACTTAATAGGTAGAGTCAGGCTAACACATCCACTGCAATTTCTAGGGGAAAAAATGGATAAAAACTATGGAAACCAGCGAACAACAGAAGGGCATCTTTAAAGTACAGGAAAAAAACTGCCAATCTAGAATTATTGAAATTATTGAAAAAAAATCTTCAAAATTGGAGGTAAATAAATATATTTTCAAGTAAGCAATTGCTGAAAGAATTTATTGCCAACATAACCGCAGTAGAAGAAATACCAAAGGGAATTTTTGACTCTCAGGAAAAATTATCCCAGATTAAAGCAAGGACATACATTTACAAATGAACAGTACAAGAAAGGACAAAGATTTGGGTATATATATATATAATAATTTTGGTTGTTTAAAGCAATGACAACATCAATTTCTTGTGAGTTTTATGACACATGTGGAGGACAGAAATATATAAAACAATAGCATAAAGTGAGCAAAGAGGATGAATGAAATGACCTGTTGTAAGGTTCTCACATGTTTGTGAAATGGTCAACGTACTAAGAAGTGCATTTGTCCTGCTGTAGGAAGACGAGAAGAGACGTTATCATCTCTAGGGGAGCTGCTATGAGGAATACAACACAGCATAACCAAAAAGAACCCAAAGCAGATGAAATAAAGAGAAATACTTTATTAATCTAAAAGGAAAGGAGAATAAAAGGAACAAATATCCCATAAGACAACTGGAAACAGCGAGATAAGAGGCTTCACACCAACCGTATTAGTAAGCCATTCAATGTAAATGGATTAGACACCACACATACTGGATTTCAAAAAAGATCCAAACACAGGCAGCTTATGTGAGACACATGTTATGTATAAAGACAAACAAGTGTTAAAAGTAAAAGGATATGAGAAAGGATAAAGCATGCCAATCCCAAACCACAGACAACTGACGTGTCTCTCGGACGTGAGAGAGAGCAGGCATTACAGAAAGATGTATGATGACAGATAAAGAGAGAAACTTCACAATGTTAACGTGTCAGTTCAAGAGACATCAACTTGTATGTGCCCATAAGATACCCTCAATATATGCAAAGCAAAAATTGACAGAGCTAAAGGATGTACAGACAAATTGACCATCATCACTGGAGGTACCAACATCTCTCTTGGCAACAGGGAAATCACACAGAAGACGAGAAAGGATATTGATGATCTGAACAATACCATTAACCAACTTCACCTAACTGACATTTATAGAATGATAAATCCAAAATCTGCAGAATACATATTTGCTTCAAAGGTACTTGGAACATTCATCCAGATACACCACAGTGTGATCCTTAAGCAAGTTACTACACATTTTAAAAACAGCAGTTCAGTGCATTATTTTGGACCATAATGAAACTAAACTGGACATCAATATCAGAAAAATTGCTAGAAAATCCTTCAAATATTTGGAAATTAAGACACATAAGTAATCCATAGATGAAAGAATAAATCACAAGGGAGGTTTGTTTAATATTTTGAACTGAAGAGTTGTGAGGATATGGCATACCAGTGTTGTTGGGAACAGCTAAAGTAGTGATCAGAGGGACATTTAGATCTTAAAATGCCCATACGACAAGAGAGGATAATTGAAACTGATTCTCTAACTCTCCATGTCAACAGAAGAAACATGAGGTGGAAATTAAGCCCAAAATGAGAAGAAAAAAATAATAAACATAAGTTCAGACATCAATAAACATACAAAACAGACAAACCACAAACGGCAAAGTGTCCGAGTTACACTGGGCATATGTGGCCATGCACATGACCGCGACCAGCTGTGGTCAAGGGCTGTGGGCTTTGGAAACGATCAACAAGTTCAAACAATAATCAAGAGCAAACAGTTCAAGAGACCTGAATCACAGCTCTGCCACTTTCCAATGGTTTGACTTCAGAGAATTAACTTAACCTTTCTGAGCTTCAGTCACTTCATCCACAAAATGGGAACAGTACCCCTCAGAGCTGCTTGGAGGATTTAATGAAATCGCATACTTCTGTCGCCTAATACAATACTTGGATTAGCATCTGTGGATTTATTCTTTTCCTTCCTTCCTTTCTCTTTTGAAAGAAATTATGCAGCTGGGACATATTGATTCAGCAGGACTTGTCTAGACAAACCTTAAATGTACAGTCAATTAATTCAAAGTGAATTCATTAATCAAATATTCAAACCACACATTAAGTTTGAATCATTTCTCCAGAGTATTTCCAATGAGTTTTTGTAATTAAAAATGCCCACAGATGCTATTAAAATCACATACAAAGTGACTAAATCCACAAGTCTACAAACCACAGGCACTTCCATAATCTTTTGAACAGACTGTTAATTTTCATTATTGCTAAAAATAGCAACAAACAATGACAAGGTTTTCCTGCTCTTGAAATGTTCTTCAGTAAACATGGAATGTTACATAATGTTGATCATTAAGAAACCAGATTTAACCTTGGAAAACTCAGTTACGCCCCCCATCATATATGCAAAATATACGTATGTCAAAATATACCTAATTCCACTTTAACATGAGTAAGCTTTGGTCCATGAAGAACTGGAATTATATTATTGCGATCTAAAAGTGAAAAAAAAAAAGAAACAAAAATGCATTAGTGTTGTATCGAGCTTTGCGAAGACAAAAACATTTGTTGTAAATACGCTTATAATACCATGTGACCAAAATTCTAACAATCATCCTGTTACACTTATTACTTTATCATATTTTCATTAAATAATGGTTGCAGCTAATATTGTTTGTTGTTTCATTGTCCATCGACTCAAAGCTCACCTAGCTGGAGAAAGCACACTGAACTCGGTCTTCCCTCAGTGCCAGTCTGTGGCTTCTGCTCACCGCAGCTAAAAGCCAAAAGATGACATTCATCCAGGGGGACAACCAAACTTGCAGGACTTAGGAGACGCAAAGTCACTGGGAATCAATCACCTTTCTGCTTTCCTTTCTTCCTTCCACCCACCCTCAACTCCTCATGATGGATTTATTGGGTGCAAGGTCAAGACCTGGGCTGGGTAGGCAAGGCACTCACTCCCAGGTGCCTCTGGAGACCCTCCCCTGGCAGGACAGTGAGAGGAGACGCCCCTTCACTTCTGTGCCCTGAAAACCGCACTTGCCGCACCCTAGCCCCAGCCCCGCTTGATGTCCACACCTGTGAGCTCAGTTCTGCTTCTGTTCCTAAGTGACTTCTGACCCCGATCGGAGGCACATAAATATTCTCCATCTCAGCCCCATCTGGCAAAGCGTAGGAGGTAAGCAGCCCCCGGCAGCCTCCCACAGAGGGCTGTCCCACCACCTAGGGGGCTAATACGTGCAGAACCCTGAGAGCCCTGCGGTCCCACGTTTACTCGCCACACAGTCACGTTCTTGCTCCTCCCATCAGCATCGGAAACTTTCTTCATCACCTGGATTCTCCCTTCTAGTACCTCCGTGCTTCTGGGGCATTTGCCAGTAAGGTCCAGAGCAGCCCTCATGGGGCTCCCAGCAAGCACAGTGCCTGGTCATGAGGGGAAAAGGAGACTCGGGGCTCTCCCTCAGCACCCACGCCCTCCCAGCCTCCCCCAGGGTGAGACTCTCCTCTGGGCAAGCCTGGAATTCACACAGGCAGGAGGAGCTGGGCTGCCTCCAAAGAAAGAGCCAACCCTGAGGTCTGAGAGCACCGAGGAGCGGGGGTTGGTCCCAGGACGAGGGGACAGGAGGTGGCTTGGGGTAATGGAGAAAATTCCTACTGACTGTCTTTCTCTTGATCAGTCTTTGTTCTCAAGAACTTGGTGGGAGTCTTGGGAAGAGGTGGTAAAAAGAACATCACTAGGAAAGGACATCTTAAAGAGAGGATGCCGGGTACCAGAACTGGAAGTGTATGCTGAGAACCAGAGCAGCACCGGGCTTGCAAAACTGGTGTAAAGTGAGGGGCACAGTCCTATTTAAGGTAACAGAAGAAAAAAAACACTTCAGCGTGCGCCCCTGGAAAGCCAGGTCTACCTATGAAGCTGCTGTCACGGAATCAAAATGGCACAGAGACCATCAGCTGTAGGAGGAGACATCAGCACATCAGCCAGAGCGTGAGATGAGGACAACGGTGGAGGCCAGGCGGGATGGAGTGGACTGTGGTCCAAGGCGTGGTGCTCGCCCCGTGACAGCTGAGAGGGCTGCACCCACGACCGCAGCTGAACACAGACAAGGTGGCCGCTCAGAGTCCCGCTGCCCTCAGCAGGGGTCACGACACCTCCTGGTTACCAGCGTCAACTCTAAGCTCTACATTATAAGAGAATGGTGGCAAACTTCACCAAAACCGAAGGTGAAGAGTCTAGATTCCTTGTTGAATGAAGCAGGACTGAGAAACTGTCGCTGTCTCGGCACGGGCGCACCTTGGAGGTATCGCGAGTTCCATCCAGGCCACCACAATAAAAGCGAGCATCTCAATAAAGTGAGTCACACAGATTTTTTTGGTTTCCCAGGACATATAAAAGTTATGTTTACACTATATGGTAGTCTATTAAGTGTGCCTTATGTCTAAAAAACAATGTGCATAGCTCAATTTTAAAATAATACTGTTGGAAAAGTGCTCATAGAGCAAATTGCTCAACACTGGGTCGCCACAAGACTTCCATTTTTTAAAAAAACAGGCAGTATCTGCAAAGCACAATAAAATGAGGTAAGCCTGTACTTCACTCAGCAGACATGTAATGAGCACCTACAGTGCCAAGTGCCAGCCATAAGTATGGGAGACGTCAAGATGAGGAAGAGGACTCAGCTGAATCCCATCTTTCCAGGAGCTCCGCAGTCTAGGGACAGAAACGGGCATGCCGTCCGATTCTGACAGCAGCCAGAAGTAAGAACAAGAGCAGAGGAGGAGGGACGTTTGGGCTGAGTCCTGAAAGTTGCAGGTGGCGTTCCCCAAGAAGACAAGGAAAATAAGATGGGTGGTTAAGACAGAAGACTAGCACTTGGGGCAGTGGGGGGCCTGGGGGGCGGCAACGGGGATGGTAATAACAGAGCTACAAGTTGGAAAAGGCAAGGAAATCTGTTCTCCTTCAGAAACTCCAGAAGGAATGCAATCCTACTGAAACCTCGACTTTAGCCCAGTGAACTCACTTCAGACTTCTGACCTCCAGAACCGTAAGGCAGTTGGAATGAAGAGGGAAAATGATGCTGAAATAAAGAAGCTCTGGGAAGCATGAGCCCACGATGCTGTTGAACGAGTCACTGCAGGAGGGTACACTTTCCCAGAGGATGGGAAAGAACATGAAGGGTGGACAAGCCACCTGTCCTCAGATACTCAGAGGAGCAGTCATTTCAGAAGGGACCAGACTTGATCTGTGGAGTTCCTGGAGGCAAACGCAAACCAGGGAGTGGGACCGACAAGAAGGCACAGCTGGACTCAACGGGAGCAGAAGACTTCTCCACAATCAGGCACAAAAGCCTGGCCTCAGCTATCGCGGGAGTTAGTAACTTCCACAGTAGTTCCCGAGGAGAGACTGAACGATCCGGTATTGGCTGAGCCATATGAAGGAGATCTTCACAGTATGGGGTTTAATTAAATTATTTCTAAGATCTCTGTTACCCTAAAATGCAGGCTTCAGTTTTTCCATTAGATATGGTCTGGGTTCGTGATCAACCAGACTAAGTCATCATCCCAAAAGGTAGCCCCTTTCCACCGCCACACCTGTGCTCCTTACCTGCCCGTCCACCACACTCAGCCTCCGAGAACCAGCTCAGGGCATCCTGCGTCTGTTCTAGCTCTGCACCCTTAGCACCTCACAGACAACTCCAGTTTCGTACACTATGGTGCTTCCACCTGGCTTATCCCGTCTCCTGACTGTATTCAAATTCCTGAGAACACTACACTACTCACTACATCTCCTATTTCCCTGCTCCCTTACCTCCCAACACTCAGTACAGCTTATTAAATACAGACACCTGTCAATAAATATTTGTTGAGTGTGAACATATGCTTAATAACAAAAGACTCTACAATTTGCTCAAATACCAAATAAGAGAGCTGACGCATGGGAGGATCACCCAGATAAACTTTCGTTTCTAGATCCCCCTCAAAATTATTCAGCGTGGTGGATGATGCCAAAGATTCTGACCCTTATATTTGAACTACTGTTGTGGTTATAACTCCCACTAGGTTGCCTCTGGCTTCTCATACTGCTTTAGAAGAAAGAAGAGATCCCATTTTACTAAGATGCATTTGTTTTGTCCCAATTCTAAAATTTCTCTTACCTCCAACTATTGTTATATTGAAGGTTTTGGTGACGTTAAATAGTTTCCCATTGTGACGGAGGAAAAACATGCAGGTATAGTAGCCTTGGTCTTCAAACTCTGCATTCTTTGAAAATGGGTTTTTACTGTTCTCTATCTTTCGACAGTCCTGTGTTTTAAAAAAACAAGGTAAAGTAGTTTAAGTAAAAGCAATATTGTATTACAAGAATTCAAATTTTTAAAGTGAAAGATCTTTAGAGAAAGAGGGAAACACTGAGCACTAGCAGTTTCTGAGTGACTGTCCCAGTGACTTGGCACCACCTCTCCTGGAACAATGAAACACAGTCCTGTTACTGGAATTAGCGTCACCATTATTAACACATGCTGGGAAGTGGAGCGTGGGGAGCACTGTTGCTGCCTTTGTCATTTTCTTTTAATCTCTCTCTTATTCACACAAAGAGAGGGAGGAGGAGGAGGAAGGAAAGAAAAAAATCACTACAACAAAAAAAATTCCTGCATTGGTCAAAACTTCCCACACAGCTCTATTTCTTACCACTTTGAGCCTAATTCCATGTATTCGGGACCACCCATCCTGGGGGTGGGTGGTGGGGGTGGGACCAGAATTACTCAGAGAGCTGAGTACCTGGCAGACCACCCACTCCCTTGATGTCCTCCACCAGACGACAGTGGACTGACAAGAAATGCATCGAGAACACTCCAACGTGTAGGCACACACAAACATGTCTCCCTAAGACAAACTTCCAAATGTTACAGGAATCAATCGTAACGAAAAACCCACCTTCTTCAATCCAGCCATCAGGGACCCACAGATAGGTTCTGAAGCAAAGTTTGTTCACCTCGACCAAACTGCCAGCCTCGACCATGTGACCCTGTTCCTGTAAATATCAACCAAGGAGCACCTACTGCCCACAAAATCGTACACACCAAAACGTTCTGGACCCAGACTTAGTTTTTCCAAGGCATGTTAAAATGTCAAGACCAAGGCATCTAAAAAATCTTTATTTTTAATTCCAACCAATTATTTACTGATACAGCTTCCTTGCTCCTCTCCTCTCAGTTTTCCAGCTAAAAACATCCTTGATGCGTCTCATTTTCTAAATTTAAATATCTGCATATAGGAATTTCTTAAAACTTGGTACCCTGATCCTCACAAATTTACAGGTACTGTGAAACATTTGCGTATTTGACAGGAAATAGAGTCAGCTCAGGACTGACACAGATGTTTGGAAAACATTTTGGGTAAGAGCTCTCCTTGACGAATCACAAGTAAACAGTGTTCGAGCAAAAGGTACAAACGAAGGTTTCTAAGAAATCACTGTCGGTAGCTTGAACTTTCTCAAGGTCTTCCGTTCAGACCACCCTCTCTCACAGAGCTTCAGAGTTT